CCAGGCACTCAACTCCGTCACCGCCTCTCTCGACGACATAAAGGCCAACGTGTCATCCTTATGCGACCGCGTCACCATGCTCGAAGGGACCACCCCCCCCATCACGGTCGTCACCACCACGCAAACCACTCCAACCTCCACAGTGCAAACTACTCCAACCTCCACAGTGCAAACCACTCCAACCTCCACAACCGCTTCTAGCAACACCCCCCCGCCGACCTCCTCCGCTCCTACCACCTCTACCGCCATATCCACCAACCCTTCAATCCCCACCATCGTTCCGTTCCCTCCACCTCCTCCCTCATCCGGCGCATCCAGCACACCGCCTCATTCCCCGCCCATCAAAGTCACCCCTCTTCCCCCCCCGCACTCCCAAACCCTCTCCCAACCCATCATGACCACCTCCACCATCCCCACCATCCGTCCCACCTATTCCCAAGTCACCTCCGGGGCTTTCCCCGCAATGCCACAACTTCCACCCAACTACCTCCTCGAGGACAACAACCAAATCGACCACACCTGCTACGACACCACCCCCGATAACCTCAGCTTCAACACCCTCGCGCAGATCGTTCACCGCGACGGGGAAATCCCCCGTTCCTTCCGATCTGGCGAAATCATGTCCTTCTCCGGCCTCCCCCACGAGGACGTTTTCCTCTTCCTAACCCAGCTCCAGAACTCTTTTCAGCTCCACCACATGCCCCTTGCCCACTGGCTCCCCATTGCCAACTCCCGCCTCCTCGACAATGCAACCAAATGGTGGATGGCTGAAGCTAGCAACCGCCGAGCCTCCGGAGGACCACGCCCCACCTTCCTCCAATGGGCCACCCTCCTCACTGCCACCTTCCGCCCCCAGAAAACCATTGACGACTACCTTGAACAATTCTGCCACCTCCGCTAGACCGGTCCCACCAACCGCTTCGTCCAATACGTCCGCTCCCTCCGACACCACCTCCCCCACACCGTCATTCCCGACTGTGCGTTCATCTCCCGCATCAAACGAGTATGCCACAAAGACCTTGCAGCCGCCCTCGCCCACGAACCCGACATGCCCCTTGCTGACCTCCTCTCTCGCATGCTCCACCACGATCGATTCCTCCACCCCCACCACCAGGCCACCCCCGGCACCCCCCGCACCCGCTTTTTCCACCACATCACCCCCGAAGACACCACCTCCATCACTTCCTCAGACAAGTTCACCACATCTGACCCCGACGCATCTTTCGATTCACKCGACTCTTCATCCCTCACTTCCGAGGAACTCGATGTCGTCCAGTTCATGAGAATGGAGCGCAGAGATCGCAGCTCCCGACCACCCTCATCTACCCCACCCTCCCGCCTCACGAAACTCACCCCCGAGGAGCGCACCTACCTCCAAGCAAAAGGGRGTTGCTTCCGTTGTCGCCAATTGGGGCACCAACAAACCAATTGCCCCAACGCCGCACGATTCACCCGTCAGTCCGCCTCCACACGACCCGCAACCTCCGCATCACCGCCCTCGGCAAGCGCGGGCCCCTCCTCATCATGAACACAGTCCCCAGGACACTGACCCGACATCAACATTGCATCTGTCAGCCTACCCATAAGTGACATCCTTCGTCGCACCGATGGCCCATCTGACATCGACAATTCGTTTGCCTTCCCCCTCTCCGACGACGCCCCCTCCACCGGACGATTCCCAGGCATCGCAAACACCTCCCACTGCCTCGTGCTCCTCTACCCTTCCTCCAAATGCATCCACTATCACCTTCTCCGATGTTGTTGAGGAACAAGCCCGACACGATCGGCTTGTCCGCTTAGGCAACGAACAACGCCGCCTCAACACCATCATCTCC